GTTAGATCTAGGCCCTTCTATCAAATCAAAGCCAAATTCTTTGGAATCTCTATTTCTCATCACAAACAGCCAGGTTAATTTATTCAGTCTGTAGAGCTGACTGCTAATTTTTGGGGTTTTTTGGCCATGAAAGAGGAAATTATCAGCTTCATGAGTTCAAAGTTTCCTTAACTCTTGCAGGATATGATACTATGATTATCCAAAATAATTAATTCCTCCTCCATTTTAAGATGAAGCTTAAAAGTAAATCTGATTTTCACTGAAGTTAGCTTTTTTTTTGCCCTGTGAATTTTTGTAATTAAGAAGAAAATTCCCAAGTAAATGAGCAGCAGAGATAAGAAATTCAATTTTCTTCACATTCTATCAAAATCTACAAGTTTTGCATCTCACTGATGTAGAAATATTTTTGACATCTTGACTTCATTCAAAGAGTATGAATATGAAAGTGAATCTTACACAAAACTCCAAAACACTGGGATAAAACATGAAAAATTTGGTCAGCTGCCCAGAAACTTTATAGATGGGATGTCAACTGTGGGCAAGTCGGTAATTGTGTAGATGGATGATTGATGGAAGTTTTTTATATTTCATTTATGTATTTTGGAGTCCTACAGGCAAGGTCTATGAATTTGTTCATTATCTTTAAGAAATTAATATCAGAGAAATCAAACATGAGACAGTGGAAAGAGCATAGGATGGAGAACAGAGCAGCAAATAGAAATTTTTGCCCCTGAAGCAAGTCTTAAAGACTATTTAAGAGGCAAATGAGATACCTTCAGGTGAGGGGAGATGAGATGACACTTAGTGATAACCAGGCAGGGAGACAGACTCCAGGATACTAGCATTAGGTTGCACTTGCAAAGGATATAGTGAGGGGAGGCATAGGAAGAAGCTCAGACTAACTCACAATCTGACAGCTTCTTGTATTAACTAAGCATTATGCCTAATTAAGTGCTAAATTCTGTTTCCACACCTGAAGAATTCACCTGCTGTCTTTAGCCTCTAAATAATGTGCCCTGAGTCAAAGTTGCCATGTCCTAATTAGGAGGACTCAGGAGACCTGGGTTTTAGTCCCATCTCTGCTACTATCTGTGTGATCTTGGGAAAACCATACATCCTCTTTGGACCTCAAGTGCTTTATCTGTTTAATAAAAGAAGGTTGGATAATGATATTATGTTATATGTTGGTTTATTACCAAAGTTTGGACAGGTTAGTTAATTTCATTAAACCCTACCTTGGATGTATTTTAGCTGGAGCCAATACCTGATGCTTAGGACTTGACTGAAGGGGTCGGGGAAGAAATTTGTCACTATAGATAATTTGCACAGTGGACGGTATTAATATACTACACTTATCTCATGGTTGAAGCTGTTTTTGAAGAATTGTGCTTCTCTCACTGGGCTGAATAAACTCTAAGGACCCTTCCATAAACTAAAATTCTGTGATTTGAAGTCAGCAAAGGTTGATGTATTATCCTTGATTTGAATCCCATTATACTCTTTCATTAATATAAAAGCCTGGGACTGATATAAAATGTTAAGAAATCCTAAATGAAAATCATACTGTTAAAAATGAAAAAAAAAAGAATTCAGTTGATAAAGAAGTCTAGTGATCCAGAAAGTTAAAAAAACTTTTGTGGAAGATCAGCATAATGTATTATGCCAATAAATTGCTTTACCATTTTGCATTCTCTTTGCTTGAAAAAAAATACCAATCATAATTTTCAAGGTTGAGTTTACCTGCAAGCTCTTGTCATTATGAGCGATGGTTCTCATTTTAGACTGAATTTTACTTTCACTTAAAACCAAATATTGCTTATAACTGTGACATCCTCATAGAAGTAGGGGGGGGGGCAAGTTTCCTGAACAGAGAGCTGAAATTATTGTATTATAGCTCCTAAAGTTTTTATAAATACCTTGTGAATTCTGTGTGACTTTTAAGTTTCATTTTCTACTGCTTTTGAAATTTGTTATCACACTTTTCAATACATGGCACAGTAGATAGGACACTGGACTTGGTGTCTGGAAGTCTTGGATTTAAACTCTGTTTTGAATACTTACTGGCTTTGTTAACTTGGGAAAGTCACTGCTTCAGTTTCCTTATCTAGAGAATAAGGGGGTTGTATACAATAGCCTTCAAGTCAGCTGTAAGTCTAAGATCCTACATATATGAATGAATGAATAAACTAATTTTTAAAAAAAATGTTTGTGAAGGGCTTACTATATGCAAAATACTTTTCTAAGTGCTGGGGATACAAATAGAAAAGCAGAGACAGTACTTATTTTTAAGGAGATCACAGTGTAATGGAAAAGACTCCTTTGGGAGATTTCTGCTGCAAATTAGATGGAAAGGTCCCATGGTAATTTGATGTCAAGAATTTTCTCTTCTGGATTTTCAGTATCTGTGGTTGCTGAAGTAGTAGGGGCTTCAATGTCTTTTAGAAGAAGTTTCCAGGTCTTCTCTCTACTAATGGCCACTCTCTCAGGCCAATGGCCACAGGGGGTAGGCTGGATGTAGAATTGACTGGGGTTCCAGAGTTCTTGGCCTTACCTTCCTGTGGGTAAATACTTCAAAGATGTGAGATTTCATTGCTGGGGGTACTCCCTCCTCCAATTCTGATTTTGATTTTTCTTTGCTTTAGTTGAAGGTGATTCACTGTGGCCAAAAATATTAATCACTTGGTGGCTAACCTTCTAGTGATGAGCATTCCTCAATTTAGCTAGGCTAGTATTTTGACTAGCCTTGAATCTATCAGAATCAAAAGCTGTCACTAGACCTAGCTTAGGAAGGGACTTCTCCTAAACTTGGGCTCTTCTAGGATAATTGTTGAGAACTCAGGGATCCAACATGGCTTAAAGGATCATTGGAATAGGACTAGGGAAAAATCGAGTTGTTTATTTTTCTGAATGCATCTTTTCTCTGATAAAGGTACTTATGGTTGAATCTAAAGGTTGGTAAAGACATTTTGAAAAAGAGTACAGGATAGAATGGCTTGGAGGGATTATGGATCATTAATTCAGAGCTGGAAGAAAATTCATTTATTCCAACCTCTCAATTTTACAGATGAGAAGACTAAAGCACTGAGAGGTTAAGTGATTTGTCAAGATTTCTGAGACAGAATTCAAACTAAGTTCTTGATGATTCCAGATTTAGTACTCTACCTCCTGTGTCGCCTAGCTCCCTAGGGTGCAAACTGTGGTATATAAAAACAAGAACAAAAGCAAAAACAAAAACCCCTTGAGATGTTTGAAATGGAAGGATTTCTCTATAAAGTTTTTCTCCTTAGATCTTTGTGGTGTGGACTAAATACTTGCTCCAGGCTTGAGTTAATTAGGTAGGATTTACTTTTCATTGAAGGAAATCTATTAATAAATCAACTAACTAAGTATTTATTAATATTATAACATACATTATAATAATATGTAATAGCAATAGCTAATCATTATATAGTTTTTTAAGTTTTGCAAAGATATTTACTCATATTTCACCTGATAATATTATTAAGAAGCAATGTACTGTGCTATATAGAAAGAAGGACTTGAAACCAGGAAAACAAGGGTTCAAGTTCTATTTCTGAAAAATGTTGGGTGTGTGACCATGGGAGAGTCACTGAAACTCTCAGGGAAGGAAGGAACAAACATTTATTGAACACTTACTCTGTGCCAGGCATTATATTAAGATTTGATTCTCACAACAACCTGGGAGGTAAGGGCTATTATTATTTTCATTTTACAGTTGAGGACATTGAGGCAGGCAGAGGTTAAAGTGACTTGTCTGGGGTCACATAAATAGTAAGTATCTGAACTCAGGTCTTCTTGAATCCAGGACCAGCGTCCTATCTACTGTATTAGCTAGCTGCCAGTACTCTAGGCAACACAAAGCTTTCTTAAATTATAGAAAGGGTGGAGACCTTCATTGTTTGCTATTCTAGTGAAAATCACAGGTTTAGTTCCTATTCCTCTTAAATAAACAAATAAACAAGCAAGCAAAAAGAAACTTTTCCTGCCCTGAGGAAGCTTACATTCTATAAGTCTTCTAGAAGGAGAATGCCACCATTCTTACACTAGTTGTCCTATCTCAGTCGGATCCAAGATGAATAGAGAGGTTTGGGATTTCTTTCATTTTGCTAAATGATGAAATATACGGATAACTAGGAACCTAATTACTGATATTTGACCATCTGGGATTAGGAATCTTACACAACAAGATGGAGAATGGCCTCACCTTAAAAATATTTATCTCCAAACTTTTGAAAAATTATTTTTTGTGATTAGTGTGAGCATTCACTTCTTTATTCTTTATTTGTTTGTTTGTTTGTTTTACTGTGCAAAGAATTTTTCCAAACAAGATCCTCTGGTTTGGCAGCCACTGAGTCAAGTTATTCCTTTACTTTTGATACTCCCTATAGTTATTTTAGTTTTATGTAGATAAATAATTCAGACTGGGGTATAATACTTGGGAATAAATAATACTATCATTTGGAAACACTTGTCTCATGGAAAAATGTTGGCAACTAGTTGGTGTGGTGGATAGAGTGCTTGACTTGGATTTAGGAAGATCTGATTTCAAGCCTCAGATACTTACTCTTGTAAGTGACCCTGGACAAGTAACTTAACCTCTGCCTACCTCAGTTTCTTCAATTGTAAAATGGGGATAATAATAGCACATACCTCCTAGGGCTGTTGTGACAATCAAATGAGATGATACTTGTAAAAAAACAGTTAGCACAGTGCCCTACACAGAGCAGATTCTTAATAAGTACTTATCCTTTTCATTTCCCTCTCTCTCCCTTGTACTTTCTTCCCCTCCAATTCTCTCCTCCCCCCCCCCCAACTAATAATTATTATGGAGGCCTGGTTTGTGTAAGATCTTTTTTAGTCTTCTTCTTTTTTTTTTTTTAATAGTAGTTTCCAAAATGTCGTATCAAACATTTGGACTTTGATTCTGTTTGCTTTTCACTTTTCCACTAATAAAATTTTGTATGCCTTTCTTCTTTTAGGATGCTACTTCTCTTCATGATGCTGGTCCTCTCCATCCTCTCTATAAGACTAAACAATTTCTTCCTGCTAAATCACTGTTGCATCCACAGAGCCTCTCATATACTGACTGTCTTTCCCCTGGACCTTTCAGTCATTTGTCCTCTATCTCTCTGGGTGATGGACATGTGAATTCCCCTACTTCATTCAGTTACAACAGATTGTATAATAAGGTGAGAATTCTCTACTGAAATAGACTGTGTTATAAATATTCTTGGTGTTATATTTCCAGGTACCTATAACTTAAATGGAAAGCAGTGTGGCATAGTCAATAGATGTCCAACTTTGGAGTTAGGAAGACCTAAGTGTAAGTCCATTCTGATACATGCTGTCTGTTTGACCCTGGGCAGGTAATATGTGTCCCTAGGCAACTCTCTATAAGCTAGAGGGGAGTGGATGGAGTTTACACATCAGGAGTTCTATATAATAGTGAAATTTCAAGTCTAAACCAATTCCCAGAATTCAATCTCCCACACAAAAACCCTTCAATATGGTAGAAAAGAACACATTGAGAATATTTAAATTCATTAAGAGCATTTTAAAGCATATTTTAGATCAACATTTCATTTTGTATTTTTCCCCCAATTGACAAGCATTTATTTTCTCTCACTCCTGCCCCACTCTCCCCTTCCACTGGAATAAGAAAAAGAAAAAAAAAGAACAATACCCTTGTAACAAATATGCATTGTTAAACAAAACAAATTCCCATATTGGTCATGCCCAAAAATATTTCTCTTATTCTGTATCTTCAGTCTATCATTGCCTGTCAGGAGGTGAGCAAAATGTATCATCATTAGTCCCCTAAAATCATGGTTGGTCATTGCATTGATCAGAATTCTGAAGTCTTTGAAAGTCATTTGCATTTATAATGTTGTTATTGTACATTCTCCCAGTAGTTCTGCTCAGTTCACTCTGCCTTAGTTCATACAAGTCTTCCAAGATTTCTCTGAAACTCTCTTTCACAATTTCTTATGGCTCAATAGTATTCTATATTCATATTCTATGTTCATATACCCATTACTCAATTGGTGGGTACTCCCTTAATTTCTAGTTCTTTGCCACTACATATAGAATTGCTGTAAATATTTTTGTTATATATGGGTTCCCTTCCTCTTTCATTGATCTCTTTTGGGTATAGGTCTAATGGTAGATCTTAGATTAATATTTGAAACAAAATATTTATTATTTATTACTTTTCCAAGGTAAAAAAAATAGCTCACATTATCCCCCAAGAAAAATTTCTAAAAACATATAATACTGGAGAGTTCAGCTGTCTTTAATACATAACTAAATTCTCTTTAAAAAGCTTCTTTAAATAATAATGCATTGACAAAGAGGTACTTGTAATTTCAGTTGATGGCTATATTAAAAAAATAAAAGTTTAAAAAAATCTCACTCAAATGCATGTAGAAGATGAATTAACATTAATTTCTCTCCTTATGTGCATATATTTCTTACCATTAGCAGTAACATTATTTTGAAAATGAGTAAGTACTTAGTACTTAACGAGAAAATGAGAAAAACATGATGGAGGCAAGGAAAACAGATGCAGAATCATTTGTATTAAGTTCCGGAAAGAAGACAGAAATGGCTTATTCCTTTAGTATCATCCCTGTTCCCTTGACCCTGTTTGGGGCTCTATGCAGATCTTATCCTGGTTTTGGGCACAATGGAAAAAATGCTGGATTTAGAGTCTGAGTACTAGGTTAAAAACATTGCTCTGCCACTTTCTAGTTGTGTGATCTTAGGTAAGTAATTTGACCCTCTGAGCTTCAGTTTCCTCATCTATAAAATGAGGTATTTGGACTAGATGAACTCCAAAGTCCCATCCATTGATGAATCTATAGTACTTAATGGAATGCCTTGGAAAAGAGTCACTGGGCCACTGTGGATAATTCATACCATTATCAGAAACAGGAGTACTACACTTGATATAGTGGATGCATACCCCAAAAGTTTTATATACATTAATTTTCATAAACTCACCCATGTTTTATATATCATTATAAATCTGGCTATTTACAGGAAACATGATGAATCTTTTTGTAATAAAACATAATTAATCATTTATTTATCCTATAAAATCTGATCTTTTTACATCAGCTAAGGGCCCTGTCCCTTTGGGGAAAATGAAAGTTTGACCATAGTAGTATAGCAGGAGACACTGAATTAATATGTACAAGTATAACTAATTATCTCTTAAGCAAGTGGAATGCCCTTATAATTAACAAAGTCTGTAAGCTTTGCCGAGATCATCTAAAGCAGTGGTATCAAATAGAAACATGGGCCTCCAAACTGTGCGTAAGGATTCTTGTTAGGAAACAACAAATTAACATTATCTGTGTTTTCTTGTGTTTTCATTTATTTTGTTAAATATTTACCAATTACATTTTAATGTAGTTCAGGATGTACTTGAGGATGTTGTGGATAGCATGTTGGAAAACTTTGTTCTAAAGCTTAGGCATGGCAAATTTTTCCAGGAAACCTTGATTTTAAAAAAATTAATAAAAATATCTTTGAAATTCAGATTTGATATTCCACAGTTATGATTAAGTCCATTTAATTATTAATGCTTGATATTAATGCTAACTTCTTTTGACCCCCATTTCTATATTTTGGAAATTTTGATACTTTTCTAATAATAGTTCACATTTGTGTAGATTTTAAGGTTTACGAAGTATTTTCCTCAGAATAACCCCACAAGGCAAATGGTTCACGTATTGTTATTCTCATTTTACAAACCAGGAAATGGGGGCTCTTAGACAGCTAAGTGGTTTACCCAGGATCACACTCATGATCTAGTACATGTCTAAGACACAAATTGAGCTCAGGTCTTCTTGACTCCCTATTCCAACACTTTAGCCTTTTTACCACGTGCCTGATCATAACTTTTTGTAAATTTTGATTATGCATTCCTTTGATGTTTAAGTAGTGTTTTCAGGAACTGTTCAGAGGAGACTGTCAACATGTTGTCCATGTGCTAATTATTTTTCCAGGCTGTATTAAATGATTAGATGTGAGTTATCTGTGTATTGGAGGATTGGGTATCATCAGAAATGGTTTAGTATTTCCTGTGCTTTTTTAGTATCTGGTGCTTACTGATGTTGAATAGGGAGTTATTCCTATACTCAAAAAAAAAATATGATCAAAGTCAGTTCCCTCGTTGCTGTGAATGAAAATATCACAACAGAAGACCTTACCATTTCATCTTTATGGCCTGTATTTAATTAGATTTCTTTATTTCCAGAAAAGTAGAAATGTCTCTTTTTGGTTAAACCCTGCTTAAATGCTGTTTGATCTTTATATATATTACCTACTCCTGGTTATAAGAATTAAGGCATACATATAAATATAGACTGCATGAGGGTAAACCATTTTTGAGTGAAATTACTCTCTTCTCAGTTTAGATTTCATTTTAGGATTCTCCCTCTAATGCCCTAAAGTCTCTTCCTTCTTTGTCTTTTTCCATACCTGACTAATCCTGACCTCTTGGTTATTCTACTGTCTGTTTTTTCTCAGTATTCCTCAGTGCATTGCTCTGCTTATTTGGTCCACTATAAATCCATGTCATCTAACTCTAAGAGGACCCTCAAGCATTTCTCATCAATCCTTATGATTCATCTCTTGTTAGTTCCTTAGTATAATCCATCCAGTAGCTATTCCTCAAAACCCATCTCTCTCCCTTCTATCATTCTGAGAAGAGCCTCACTTCCTACTTTACTAAGAAGATAGACTCCTTCATCTTTCTTCTTTGTCACTTAGAAAAAAAAACAACAAACCTCTGCCCTCTCTACTTCTCAAATTTCTATCCAGTCTGACAAGAAGAGAACAGTTTTATTTTCCATCTTGTATGCAGCATGTTGGTTATTGAGGTAGGAGGGCAAGAATGCTCTAGCCAGAGAGCTTTTGAAAGATCCTGGCCTGATAATGGAGTGCTGATCAAAAGAAGGGAAGAAGTGGGCCTGGCCACTACTGGTTAGTGCAAAAAACACTTAAGAGTCTATATGCCAAAGGTAAGGCAAACTGAGATAACTATGTCGAGTTTAATACTCAAATACCTGCCCAGTAACAAATGACTTCAGTCTTAACCCCAGACCTCACGTTTCATTAGCCTTTCATCAGACCTTGGTATGATCCTCAGTATTTACTCAGTTTTTGATGCACATACTACTTCTAGCCTTTGTCCATTTCTGTTTTATACCTTGTCTTACCTTGGTATTTTGTCCTACGAGAATTATTGTACTACATCTATCTGTTTAGGGACTTCTCAGTGGTCTATGCCTCCTCACTTTCATAAGTGGGAGAGTTCAGTCAACACCATGGACAATACTCACTTTTGGTCCTTACTCTCCATTAGTGGGTTGGGAGGAATGATTTAACTTGTTTCTTTCAAATCCATTCCTTACTACATCCATTCTGACCTTGTTCCTGCTATGATCAGCTTTCTTTCTAATATGTTTAGTTTCTCCTTTCCTCATAACACAAGTGTTCCTTAGCCTCTTTTGTGTCCATTGGCAGTCCAGTGAAAACTATGGATCCTTTCTCCTAATAATGTAGATTCCCTTCTCTTAACAATGTTTTTAAATTCATCAAATAAAAATATACAAGCTCATGAAGAAAACTAATTAAATTGAAATACAATTATCTATCTGTCTTCTATCTATCTATCTATCTATCTATCTATCTATCTATCTATCTATCTATCTAAAAGTACATAAACCTGGTTAAGAACCAGGTCTAGAGACTTTTCGCTGAAAAGACCATATATAGGCCTTTCCCATATTGATTAAAACAAAACAAAACAAAACAAAACAAAACAACTTTCATTCGACTTTGATGTCTCCTCTAGCAAGTGCATTATTTCTTTCCTTGCTTTATGAATGAATTCAATTTAATTGGACAAACGTTTATTGAATATCTACTAAGTGCCAGGCACTGAAATTAATGTTCTATACCCATAACCTCCATTTACTCAGTACCCATTTGCTCTATTGCCCCTGAAGTCCTGCTTTCACTTCCTCTACTCCCTGAAACTGAACTCTCAAAATCATTGACTTTCTAGCCACCATATTCTGTTTTATTGTCAGTACCTGTTCTTGTCTGTTTTGTAGAATTTTAAATTGTTTATATAGGTTATCTTATTTAAATGCTTGTTGAATTAAATTTAGAATTA